TAAGTAATCTTTTCTTTCCTTAGATAAGCTTCAAGTGTTTGAGTATCATTTATTTTGAAAATATAAGGAGCAATTTTCTCACCTTGTTCCTTTTTCAAAATACTTCTGATAGTACTATAATTATTGGTTCCATAGTAGATCTGATGTAAATTAGCTTCATATTAACTGTTTTTATATAGGGATAGTTCTATATATCACTTAAGATAACAAACGGGATATTATAAAACTGTTGATTACAAATGACTAAATTTTGATCCCTGGAATCCTTGGTAATACCAATGTTCACTTTGTCTGGTTTTGTTGCAGCATGTCCCATATACATCCCTTAAATACATTTTGTCAAGCAAGAGGTCACTTTTTGTTGAGAGACATCGTCAAAGAGTCCTTGAGTTTTGTTCTTTGGATTTCCCCTTGACAAGATGTGTTGTTTGTTTATGATTTGTCAAATAAGTTAGAGTTGGAAAGTATTTATTACACTCAAAATCAAATAGGTTTGTTTGGTCAAGGGATGGGCAATGCAAATTGTATCCAAGAATTTTCAAGAGATCATAATATATTTTCAAGAGTAAAATTTTCGTTGACACCTAAAAAAGGCAAATGGTTGTCATACATGTGATCAAAATGTCCTACCTGGGGTAAGTGCTTTCTACAGCGCGATTTCGCATTAGCTTAAAAAAGAAGTTAAAAAATATTCGTTACACGAAATGTAAAGATTTGGAATTTTTGTTTTATATAGTATTTTGAAGCTGACCAATTATTTAATTGATATTAATAGTGCGTATTTCGCCTTCACCAAATTTGCAACATTTAAATTTGATAATGGTTCAAGTCATCTATATATAAATGTCACAGTCCGAAATTTAAAGTTTTAAACCGATCATCAACCTTTTAGGAAGATCATTCCGGAATTTTACAATTTAGATGTTTAATATACACATATAAAATGGCCTAACTTTGAAGCCTTATAACTCAAAACTTTTTTAATAAAATGATGCAAATGAAGCTTATATCTTTAGCTTTAATTCTATCGGTTTACTTTTTTCTTTTTCTTTTTTAATAAGCTTTTAAAATCATGTGATAATAATTAAATATTTAATAATTTTATTAGTATCATGTGCAACCAATAAAATTATTCCCTCTATAAATGCATCCAAGGAGTGCACTTATGGAGGGTTTACTGTAGTAATTGTAATAGTTTCAAATTAGCGTCGTGGTACATAAAGTTGTAGGTTTTAGGCGACTTGCACTGTACACAAACAATTCGATCTTTTTGGCAATATGTCCGCCCAATGTGAGAGGTTTGATATTGGTCAAGTAATGGGATCAACACCATCTATCTCTTGTTTAATTTATTTATTTGATTAATTTTTTTTTAACAATATATAATAGATATAATGGTAATGATGATATTTTTGTGTATATGATGATGATCTGCAAAAATAAAAATATATGAAAATAAAATACAAAAATCTAGAATGATTGAAAAATAAATAATGAAATAATAATGGAAAATAGCCCGTTTACTTGCTAATTATAAAATATTAATGATTATTCTTTTTTTTATATGTTTCATCCTCTAATAATTAAAACAAATTAACAATAATAATTTTCTAGCCATCACCGCATTATGATCGATATCAAACCGTCTATCAATCACTTCCATCAATTAGATTTTGAGACGTGCGAATTTACAGAAGTACTTGGTTGCATGGGTATTGATGATAATGTATGGTTGTTGTTCATACTGTTGATGTCAGTGGTAGGATTTTTAAAATATGGCTGCTGCCGATTATTATTATTGTTGTTAAGACCGTTTAATATGTTGCCGTTTAATTGATGATTATTAGCGGTGTTAATGTTATTATAATAACTGTAACCAATTTGTTCTCTATATTATTTTTTTTAGAGTCATACTCGTCTTACTTGGCCCCCTTCCACACCAAACACAAATAACAGCAACATTGTTCTATCGTCATCAGAGGGTAAATATTTTGAAAAAATTAATTTTTTATGAGGGGAAAGCAAAATTCCAATCAATAATTAATTACATATTCCATATTGATAATTTCCAAAAAAAAAAAGACGAAGA